AGATTGAAACAAACAACATGTTATGAATAGAAAGCATAAAGAAATTCAATAAAAGATATGAGTTAAGAAAGATCTTCTCTGGAGGAGCTCTCTCCAATTATCTTCCAAAGGGTTCAAGCTCCCAAAAATACAACATAATAAGAATATGAGAGATCTAGAGATCTCCAAGATCGGTCTAATAAAAAACCCTAAAAATCTATTTATATGTTCTTAAAAACGTGTTGGGACTAAAGTTGCAAATAGGGATGTCTTCTGGGTTGATTATTCGGTCTTTAAAACTCTAAACCGTCGAGATTTCTTGCTGGGCCGTGTGTGGTGTCGAGCGACACCAATGGGTGTCTGTCGACACTCATGCCTTGGTTCGACACCGATTTTGTCTCCTCAGCTCTAAATCTTCGGTTTATCTCCAGAATGATTTCTTTTCTCCAAATTTGTCCCGAACGTGTAAAAACCTTAAAAGACTCAAAAAGACACTAGAAATAACGAAAAGACTCTAAAAATGACTCATAAATCACGGTAAAAACCGGTAAAATCCGTGATATATCACAATATTTTCTATCTTGTGTGTTGGTAACTTGGTATACAGAAATAAAACTGAGCTAATTGAAGATAGCTTCTTTCAACATAACCTTGATAAGAATATTTATTTTCTTTTAAGTATTAGTTAGTAAACAAAAAATAAGAGCATATTATCGTAAACCCAAAAAGAGGCTATCCAGCTAACTGTCTTAAAAAAGAACTCAATATTTCATTGTTTCGTGAGTAAATGATGGTCCTGTTAGCAAAAAAACATTAATGTTTTTGGTTATAAAAAATATTTACTAAAGAATTTAAATGATCGGAAGGTCTATCCTTTTTACCAGTTTATTATATCCTAGAAAAAATCCCACGCGTTGTGTGGGTTATATTTATATAAATATATGTACAATATTATATAACTAAATATATATTAAAATATAGTTAGCTATTTAAAATTTTATATTAATTTTTTTTTGGTTTATAGTACTTGCACAAAAAATAGTCGATGTGTGATATCGAAAAGAGCGTTTATTTATTAAAATTAACATTTAAAAATCTAAATATGTGAACTAAACAATCTATAAAATAAAAGTTTTATATTGTTTCAAAAGTAACATAATATTTACTTTTTTAACTTTTTGATCTATTAAGTACATTACGATATTCTTTAAAAATATCAAGTAAAACTATTTTTAAATGGGAAAAATGTCATTAAAATCCCCAACTTATTTAAAACGTTGAGTTAAAATATTTAAAAAGTTTATTGTAGTATACAAAATTTTACATTTCAAAAAAAGAATGTATGAAATTGAATATAAATTTTTAAATTCGGACTCGTTACTTAGTCAGAATTTTTGTTAAATTTAATTTTGTTTCAAAGAAATATATTACTCAAGTCTGAATTTTTGACCCGTTACATTTTTTCATAGATTGAACAATTTAAATTCGTTTTTAAATTCAAATCATGGTATATGCGGAAAAAATCTATTTTTTATTATATGGATGATATGATGATATATTAGTTTCACAAAAATATAATCATATAAAGATGAGAGGTGAAGTATAATAATTAATAACAAATTAATATGATAAGTTAGATATCAAATCTTACATATTCATTTTGATTGGTCAATCTTTTTTTAATTAATAATTTATTTTCATTTTTGTAATTAAAATACATAAATTGGTATTTTGGTTGTTTATTTTTAATGAGATTAATTAATTTACTATTTGAAATTTTATTTTTAATGATATTTTAAAATAATTACTTACTTTCTATTATTTACTCCCCAAATAATAGGATTTCATAAGTACTGTCGACAAACAAGCATGTAATGTAATTTATAATTTATTTAACAAAAATTAGTTAATCACGACCTATTACACAAGTTTGGCGAAAAGAGAAACCGTAGGATACAAAAGTTTGGGAGATGAGTGAGTTTTGTTATTGCTTGTTGTAAATTTTAATGAAAAAATTCCTCAACTACATTTTGATCCATTTTAAATATTTCAATTAATTTATTAATGAAAAACTCTTCAAACTTTTGGTCGGTGCATTTTAAATCGCTCGGCTAAATTATTAATATATATTTTAAATAAAAATATATTAACAAGAACATTTGCCCATTTTTTTAGTCGTTAAAATTATAAATGCTGCCACAAAATCGATACCTTTCGTTTTGGTTTGTTAAAAAATATGTATCTATACTAGTATTTTTAAAATATATTTTTAGCGGGTGGGATAAAATATATTTGGATATAATAGGTATCCGACCTGTTTACAAATTTTGGTCATAAAAAGTTTGTTGGGTCGGGTTATATTTAACCCAACTCATACACCAGATATTCTATATTTAATAATTTAGATATTTAGAAGATTTGATTAAGATTTAAAATTATGATTCTCTTATTATTTTTGTTTGATTTGTTTTTAACTGTTTTGAATCATCATATTATACATAAAATAAATAAAATATAAATAATTTATAAGGAGATACAATTTGTAAAATTTTTATATACACTAACTTTAAAAATAAATCATCCGGCGGTATACCGCGGGTTAAAATCTAGTTAAATATAATATAATGCATGCAGTGTTTGTTTTTGAAATACATCGGAAAAGTGAGGTTGTCGAATGGGTATACCGCGGGTTATAATCTAGTTAGATATAAATTGTTGTCTAAAACGATGAAAGTCGACAGATCCATATTCGAGAATTAAACGCATCTGAGATAAACGAGAAGCAATATAACCAGTGACGAATTATGTTTTATTTTTTAAACATACTTTTTAACAAGGCTAAACGAACAGTATTGATTAAACGGCATATACTGTATTTAGAGGTTTGACGGAGTTATAGACGGAATAATTTTCTCATTAACAATACTAGATTATGTAGTTGCGCGTTGCGCGGAATTTTAGTTTTAAAACTTTTTCAAAACTTTGAGCATAAATAAGATTTAAACATATGCATTATCTATCTAAAGTATAGTACAAGATTTCTCACACTTTTCACTACAATTTCTCACGTTAGTTTCTATGATTTACCCGTCGTTCTCCATAACTACTCTTTTTTCACCTTATATTGGCTCACATATATACGATTATAAATTAGTTCTTAAGATAGATCGTATCTATTTCTTGCTTCCAATATTTCAATACTCAATTTTTGTTTATAAGTTGTATGATCTTTTTATTAAAGTGAGCATCAGAATATATAGGAATTGTTTTTGTTATAAGGTTATTTTCACCATGTTTTGGTGTATTTAAAATTATTTTATAGACAACAAATCTCATATATAGACTCATTCCTAATTCACAAACATCATATTGCAACGTCAAATTTTGCATTTTATCTTTACCAATTGAAAAATAGAACATTCTCTTTTCACATATATAATTTTTTCGTATATTATGATGCTACATAGTATTCTTAATTTTGATTTTTCTCAAATATGTAACTTACAGACTCATAAAAAATAATTCAAATTTTAAAATACGTTTATTTAAAATAAAAAAACCCTTCATATTTCTAATTAAAAACTCTCCATTTCCAATGAAAAACTATTCTAATTTCCAAATAGCATTCTCAAATATTATTATTACACAGTTTTATTATTCGATTAGATTATTTTATTTTTATTTGTGATGTTTAGGATAGTTTTTAGTTTTATTTCAAATCACCTTAATTTTTTTAATCTATGTTACTTTCATAAATACTGATTAATATTTAGTTTTTTTCTTTTTAGGTATTCATTTGTTTTTTAACACCCCTTTTAAATTTAGAAAACATTAATAAAATAGAAAATTTTATTAATTTACCATTTATATTATATTAGAATTATAAACAATAATATGTACTCAATTCTTTTTTAATATTTAATCGGTATCATGAATTGATACTTTAACATTAACAAATATATTCTCAAATTTTAAATATGAATTTTCCAGAAATGAATTACTTTTTATTTTAAGCAAAAACCTTTAAATTTGTTTTTGTTTAACACTGATTTTCTTTATTCTACTAAATAAATGTAACTCTTAAAAATGATTGTTGTACCATTAAAATATATGATTAAAATTTTTTTTATCTCTAACCATTTAAAAATATTTACTCATTATTTCTTAATATATAATTATCTAATTTTATATTTATCTCTCTATTCAGAATTTTCATATTTTGTGTTGTATATTTTTTTTGTTTTCTTAATCTTTTTTTTTTGTAAATTATTGTTTTCTGTAATAAAAGATATAGTAATATAGTGTGAATTAATTTTAGTTTTAATGTTTTTTGTTTTATGGATGATGATATGGACACCCTAGATGGATAGAAAACACTTCCATTATATATAGGGAAATTGTTAATAATGCCACTTTTTCAATGCCACTTTTCAAAAATACCCTTTTTTTAAAACCTTATAAAAAATGCTCTTAAAAATATAAGATTTACCCAAATATGTATGTAATATTATTAAAACATACACAAACTACATTTCTATGTATCTAAAATCTTATAAATACTTTATAGATACCTTATAAATGCATTTTAAATACCTTTAAAAACCTTTAAAATATCTTGTAAAACCTTTGAAAAACCTTAAAAATCCTTTAAAATAACTTGTAAAACCTTTAAAAACACCTTATAAAACCTTATAAATACTTGGATCGAGTCTTCAAGTAGTAGTTACAATCCATAAGTACCTTATAAACCTAATAAAACTTTATAAAAATTTCAGATTTAAAAAGGGGCATTTTTGAAAATGGACATCTAAAAGGGGCATTTTTGAAAAGGGGCATGAGAAAAGGGGTATTTTTGCTAATCCCCCTTATATATATAGATTATATTTGTGAGTTATTTTAATTAATAATTTAGTTGATGTGTTTAAAACGGATACTTGAAGGTTTCTTAGATTAACATATCTTAGTTAAGAACATCATGCATATATCACATGCACAACGAGTTTGCGTTCAACATAAGATAACACAAATGAGGTCTTTTATTAATAACGGAAGCAGAGCACATAATCACACAATCAAATTATAAAGATATACAAACAAATAGAGGATTGATATATGAATTTGAAACGAACAGCATGCATATTGGAGATCAGCCATATTAACTCGTGAAAGAGTTAAAAATCAAGCTTAACCGGGTACTTGGCAACACAATGTTCCCAAGGACTATTAACCGAGGGCTTGACATTGCGTAGAGCCACCCACACGGCACTGTTACACTTAAACCCTGAACCTAAAGCAATCTGCCAAGCTTTGTTCCCTTTCTTCATTCTACCTTTGGCCTCTGTATAAGCTAACTCATACCAAATAGAGCTCGAAGAAGTGTTACCAAACCTATGCAAAGTTGATCTTGACGGCTCCACATCTATCGGCAATAGCCCCAACTCCTTCTGTAGCTCATCGATCACAGCTCTCCCACCCGGGTGGATACAGAAATGATCAATGGCTTGCTTGAAGTCAGGGACATAATGCTTTACCTTGTTGTCAAAGAATTTCTTGTGGATATAAGTCATTAGAAAGAGAATCTTTTCGCTTAATGGAAGAACCAATGGACCCAAAGTGGCAATGTTTTTGGTAATTGCTTTCGAAGCCACAGTCGTTAAATCTTTAGAAAGCGAGACTCCGGTTTTGCCCGTCTCATCATCTTCTTGCTGCACACATCTAAAAGATTTGTCATCAGCTCCTGTATGTGTCCTGACCGTGTGAAGTAGCTTGTACTTGGAACGTCTTCGGTCTCCTGACTTGTTAGAGAGCAAGATCGCGGCTCCACCAACACGGAACAAGCAGTTGGAGACAACCATAGATCTGTTATTACCAATGTACATGCTGCGGCTAAGATTCTCTGTGCTCACCACAAGAGCATAAGTGTTCTTATGAACTTGCAACAAGTCCTTAGCAAGATCGATGGCTATGACACCAGCGCTGCAACCCATACCGCCAAGGTTGAAGCTTTTGATGTTGCTCCTAAGCTTGTACTTGTTCACTACCATCGCTGAGAGCGAAGCAGTCGGATTAAACATGCTCGAGTTCACGATGATTATACCGATATCGCGTGTGTTGACTTTGGTGTTGGCTAAGAGGTTGTCAATGGCATCGAAGATGACTTGTTCTGTCTCCTCACGTGCAGCCGCCATGGTCTGAAGAGGTGGGATATTTAAAAGTGCATCTGGTACCGTGGTACGTAAGTCTCTTCCCCGAGACCGGAACGTTCTAGAATCCTAAAAAAGAAGTCCAAAGAGTGCTCCTCAGCCACTATTAATCTCTTAGACAGTTCTCGAATCTTGTTGATATTATCTACGATCTTTTGGACAGTGACCTTTTGATGTGGAGGCGGGAGATGGCACGAGTAGTCGACGAGGTAAACGGGTCTAGGTCGGGTCACGAAGTAGATGGCTGACCCGAAAGTGAGAACCGCAGAGAGAATGGTTAGGGTTACGATGTTGTGTTGGAGATAGAACCAAATATTTTGGATATCTTCATGGTTTAGGCTTGACGCTTTAATGGCTACAAGTGCTAGTAACGGCCTAACGGGACTAAGCAGAGCTTGAAAAAGTGGGTAATGAGGTAATGATAAAGAAGCTTTACGTTAGCCATTAGAGAGTAGTGAGGAAAACAGGATAGATATATAGATACTCTCTGCTCTTCGCTCTTCCACATGCACATATATATAGAGATGTTTATCCTCATGCAAATAGTTTTTTTTTTTTTTTTTTGAAATCTTGGAATACTATTTACTCTTTCATAAACGTAATTAAGGATGCACACATGAATTTTTCTTTTTTTCTTCAACATATACACACATGACTTCTTAAAAACATATATCTCTAAATATAACCAGATAAACACATGACTTTTAAAGCCAGTGATTAATCACGTGGTTTTGTTCTTTGTACAACGCTACAATATTAATAACAAAATGTAAGAAACGAAAAACCAGAAAAGAAGCATAACTATGTTGAGAGTTTTACACTCCATTTCACATGTTTCTACGCTGTTTATTCTTGCATGGAAAGTTCCCCAATAACACTCTAACGTCATAAAATTGATCTTTAACAACATATATTTCTTATCTTATTTGTCAAGAATTTGGGTTTAGACTCAACCAATTTCGTTTACTACTTCCGAGAAGTTGTGTCTTCAATTTTCTAAATTTAATTTTATAAAACATGTTCCTTTGTTTTCTGTTAAAGAAATTTCGTTTGATGTCCTGAAGTTGTGTCCTCATCACTAAACTTCCGGCATTATCAACCCATAACAATATAAGATGATTAAATGATTAGTACAATTATTGACATTTTAACCGAACCCAAACTGATCAAATCCATGCACAAACCATTCCGTAAAAAAATGGCCCATCCCGTACGGTCTGGTCCAGTTTAGTTTTACTCCTTAACCAAACTAATAATCTAATAATAATGTATGTTTTATTTTAACAATTACTTACTCTTTAACAAAAAAAAACAATTACTTAGATAAATAATATAACTAGTACTGTTTTTATTATTTTTTTTTTTGATGAATATACTGTTTTTATTATTTGGAGTACTTACTTGGTTTTCTTTTTTCCATACATCTTATTTTTCTTTTTTATTTGTTTTTAATAACTTATTAGCAATGGTTTTTAATTTTTGGTTATTCTCGAACATAAATAATTCAAAGTAATTCAAAAATAAACAAGGAAAAGAAAGGCTGAACCATTCACAAATAAATAATTCAATAACGGAATAAAAAGGCAAAGAGAGAGACGACGTTGGTTATTGGGTGCAAAAATCTTTGATTTGTCTTTGGTGTAAACAAATTGTGGAAAGTTTACTTGTGACGCAAGTTGTTTGTTCTTGGTGTACCCTCTTCTTGATTTTGGCATCGACAGTTAGCTTGGGTTTCTGACATTCTGGTAAGGTCTAGATCTAGATCAGATTTTATGTTCTCATCACTTGAGCGGATGTCAAAGTAAGCCCAGGTTTCCCCCTCCCTCCACACCAAATGGTCGGATACCTTACCTATTGCTCTCCGGTTATTCTATCGAACACACGAAATCTGTATGCGACGAACAAAATCAACCATCCAAAATATCTAAAAACTATTAGCCAGACATGTTATATAATAATGCTGAAGTAAACTTTAGTAAAAGTTCTTAAAAATGTATTTTACTATAGTTACGCCATTTGTTAAATTTTAGTGAATTACTTGTTAAATTTTATATAGTAAAATACATTTTTAAGAACTTTTACTAAAGTTTACTTCAGCATTAATTTTATATGTTTTTATTATATTTCCAACTGGGTTATAAATGTAAGAATCTAAATATTTTTGAAATGGAGAAAAGTAAAAATTTATCGTGACATGTGTCTTCATTTTCCTTAAATCTATATATATTAGCAATCTAATAAATACCATTTGCAAATCTGAACGGTTGCGTCTTTTTATCGCAACCTTTCGTTTAAATCGGTTATTTTTTTACGGTTATTTTGGTTGCGTCTTTTTATCGCAATTTTCGTTTTAATCGGTTATTTTTTTACGGTTATGTCGTTTTGTAATAAATACCATTTGCACATCTGAACGCTTGCGTTTTTTTATTGCAACATTTCGTTTAAATATTTATGGTTGTTTTTCTTACAGTTATTTTTGTACGGTCATGTTGTTTTATTGAATTTTTTTTACGTAAACCAATAAACTACATATAAAATTGGTTTTATTTCATAGTTTACATCTAGGAAGCACGGAAGCTTCGTCGGACGTCCGCTTCCCGCTTCGGAATCTTAGTCAGAATCGGAAGCTCTCGGAAGCTTTCGGAATCTCGCTTCCATAACGCTTCTAAAAAATTTATTTTGCAAGCTCCTTGGAAACTTACGGTTCTATTTTGGAAGGTTGCGATTCCATTTAAAAAATTTGATGTCACAAAATAAATAAGAAATAAGAAATTATTTTTGATAATTTTTTTAAACAACAAAAGAAAAACCAAAACTAATTTTGCATACTAATTTTGTATTTTATTTTTTAAAATATCATAGTTAGAAAAATGATAGCAGCATGGATCATTTATTAGAGAGATGTTGAAATGATTAATTGAATTAAATTAATTTCGAGAAATTTGAGTTTGATGATGTTTTTATTGGTAAAAAAAAATTTAAAACAATTTTATTTGATGGAATTAGTAAAATGAGAATGAAGAATGATCTTAAATTTTTGACTTTGAACTATTTGACTTTTCTCTATTGTAAACGTACACTATTTGATTTTTAAATATAGAGAGATATTTAGAATTTATGTATTAGATTTGTATGTTAATTATAATTTTTTATATGATATAATGTTTAATGTTTATTATATATATATATATGTATATTAATTTTTATTTACGCTTCCAACACGTACCTCCTTTCTATAATTTCTATAAAAATCGCTTCCAAGTTTCCAAACGCTTCGCTTACGCGTACCCGCTTCTGATTCCATGCAACCTAGGTTTACATATGGATATATTTAGTAGTATAACTCCTTAATTATATCATTCATTTAACATTTATGTGATATATCATGGGAAAACAATAATATAGAGGTTTAAATAATTTTGGACATACGTGAGTGAAATGAGCCCTACACATTAAAGCTGCAACGGACACGTTCGTCTACGTAATGGACTTATCGAATAGTTGTAAAATCGTGCCTTTTCAACTCTATATATTGTCTTTCTTTTCGAAACTCCAATTTTTTGTCCTGCTACAATGATTATTTGTTCTACGATGATAATAGGCAAACCCTATCCTTATTTAGTAGAACCATTGCAACATTTAGTTTATTTCATGAACAATTACAACTATAAGTTTATTTTATAAATCTTTATAACATTTAATCATCTACCGTCGGTGTAACCTTTCATAAATTATTATTTTTAGTACTTAATTTTTAATTATTAAAATGTATTTAAATGAGATTGTAACTATTTAATTTAACTGTTGCAATATTTGGATTATTTGACGAATCATTGCAACTTTTGGTTTTGTTTTACAAACCATTGTAATCTTTAGTATATTTGATGAATCATTGCAATATTTGGTATATTTGACGAACCGATGCAGCTTTTGGTATATTTGATATCTACGGTCACGTCTCTCGGTTAAAGTTTGTCATATTTTGTCAAAAATATATAATTACTAAAATATATTTAAATAAATTATTTTCACCGTTTAATTTAACATAGCAGCATTTGATTTATTTGACGTTGAATATTTTGGTTTATTTATCAAACTGTTGTAACCTTTGGTTTATTATTTGATGTTTTTTGCATTTGGGAATAGTTTTTTAGTTACAAATTAATGTTTTTCTAATATTCATATAATTAATAAATGCTTGTGAGGGTTTTCTTTATCATAATTTTTGTAAAATATATATTGATTTGATATTTAAAAAAAAATCAAAATTATTACAATTCATTATGATTTTTTGTTTGATATTTTTTAAACGATTTTTGAAATATATACCCCTTGAGTCCTAGTTTTACATAGTAAAAAACTCTTTCTTAATATATATAGGGTTTTACTTTAGTAATTTTTAAAAATATTATTATACTTTTAATTGGGTTATAAATGTGAAATCTATATATATTTTTAAAGGGAGCAATATAAATTATCCCATGACATATTTCTTCAATATCCTTAACTTTTAGTTCTTCATTTTTACGTTTGAATCAAACGATGGCAGATTGGTCACTGCTTCCGAATGACTTACTCGAACTAATTGTTAGTCATTTTGAGACATCTTTCGAGATCGTCCTCTTCCGATCCGTCTGCAGCTCATGGCGGTCCGTTGTACCTCCACTAGATCATTCCCGTTGTTTAGGTATCAAAACTCATGATATACCGTTCAATGCCGGCTTTTCGTTACCTCCGTTTAATAGCGGTGATAAATGCACAGTAAAACAGATCTCTATTTCTTTGACAAAAAAAAAAAAAAAAAAACAGATCTCTATTTATCTCGTGAGATTCCAGACTCCATTTGGTGATGATTATTTATTGGCAGAGATGCGTGAGAGACAGTTTGGGGAACCCATATTAATGTTGTCGCCCTTGTCATCTAATGGTATCATATATGGATTTGAGAGAGATATGTTGTTCAACTCTCTTACCTCACCAATTATCCCATTTGGACATTACTACGAGGTTTGATGTTCAAAAGCCCATATTATTTTTTAAAATTTTTTATCTTTTCTTTTTGGTGATTTTTGCCACTTAGATAATCATTTAATCACCACTTCTTGTTAGTTAGTAGGGTGCATGAGATTGTTACTTATTTCATTGTCTAACTGATTTTGGAATTCTGTGGTATTAATCACGATTTGGTAAATAAATATATACAAGTTACACTATTCATAACTAAGATAGGATCTAAACTGGAGTTGATGATATCAAACACATGGTATCATAGCGACTATGAAATCTTATCTCTAATAAATTCTCCCTAACCTAGCTAATAATAAAGTTGGTCCTGTTATTATTATTATTTTCCTTGTGCCTTCGATTAAGCCGCATAATCTTCAATGTAGATAACCTACTTCGAGATGCAACCCATTCGTTACCGCTATGGATTACCCTATCATTTATGGGATGGAGTAGAGTGGGTGGATACTTCCGAGAGAGTTGCATTTCTTAATCTGCATAGTGAAGATCGCAGAGATTTTGCGGTGCTTCTTGCTGGAGGAACGACCCATTTGGTGATGTATAGAAGCCGTAACATGAGTTGGACTCAAGTTGTGGACCATCCTGAAGCGTGTTCATATCAAGATATGGTTGCATTCAAAGGAAAGTTTTATGCTGTTGATTCAAGTGGATGGGGACGGGTCTTTGTTGTCGAACTTTCTTTGGAAGTTACGGAGATCCCCTTAGTCAGAGGATCGCAAGAGTCTTCTAAAGAAAGTCTGGTGCAGTCAGGCGAGGAGTTGTTGCTAGTGCAACGGTTCACACCAGGGTGGCGTCATGGTGAATATATATATACATGGTTCAGAGTGTTTAGACTTGATGAAAAAGGAAGGAGGAGAAAGTGGGTTCAAGTTAATGACTTGAATGACCGAGTGATCTTTCTTGGATTTCACACGAATCTCTGCTGCTCGGTACATAAGCTCCCGGGTGCAAAGGAGAATTGCATTGTGTTTATTGATTCGGATGATGATTTCATCTATGACAATGACGCAATCCTTATGTTTGACTTAATAACCAGAAGAACTAGTACTGCGTTTAATGAATGCAAAGGCTACATGGGTGTGTTCGGTGCAAATCTTGAATCTTTGGTGTCTTGTGGACTTGTGACCATGCCAGACCCAACGAGAAGCTCTGATTTCTGTTATGGATATTAGTCTATTTATTGCTTTATTACTTTTGGTTTCTAGATAATGGTATACTAATAAATGGGCTAGGATCACAGCTAATGTGTTAGGTTACAAATGAAAAGTTAATGTGTCAAGTATGGAATGGATAGTCTTGAAAAGGAATAACTTTATTCATCCATGGAAAGATTCTATAGTTAGACCACCCAAGGCGTTGTAGGTAAAAGTTTGGTGGCATAATCGATTTATTTTGCAGGAGTGTAGCTTTTAATTTAGCTTAGTGTGAGACAAATATAGCTTCTCTTAGTACATATATATAGAGGAAATATAATATATAGCTTCATATATCTCTCTGAACTATAAAATTAATTGATGATTTGTGTTCTTTCATCTAAATCAAACAAAACATTTTTAAGTTGATGTGCGATGATTTTTAGGGATTTTCTAACGTTTTATAGTTGTGTCCAAGTTTCAGTTGATCTTTTAGCTTTGCACAAGGATATCGCACACACCATTGTGATCCTCTACAATTCATGTGCTTTGACTCATACATACATTACATCCCTCATATCCTATTAATACATTACTTAAAATGTAACACTTTTTAAAGTTCATAAGCTTAACAAACTGGCTGTTGTATTTAGTTAAAAACTTGAATGTAATGCAAAGAATAAAGGAATAATAACCTAAATGTTTTTTAAAATAATCGTCCAATTCAATAAATTAATCAAACAACATTATCTAAAACAAAACCAAAGAAAAAAAAAAGATGAGCTGAAAGAAATCATATTACTTTGTAAAGTTAAATTTGAGTTTAATTTATTTTCTGTGAATAATTTACAATCTCATATAATTGAATATTTAAGTTTTGATTTTTTAATAACTAAATTTGAATTATTTATTTTTATGTTTTGTCATTACTATCATGTCCTATGGCAAGGTAGAGGGAAATCCCTCCAAGTTATATATAAGATTTGTTAACCATCTTATTCATCTCTATGTGTCTGTGTATTTTTTTATAATCCACACGTCGCGTGGGCAGTTATCTAGTAAACGATGATTTTTTAGGGATTTTCTAACGTTTTATAGTTGTGTCCAAGTTTCAGTTGATCTTAAAGCTTTGCACAAGGACATCGCACACACCATTGTGATCCTCTACAATTCATGTGCTTTGTCTCATATATTACATCCGCCTCATATCCTATTAATGCATTACTTTCATAAACTTAACAAACTGGCTGTTGTTTTTAGTTAAAAACTTGAATGTAATGCAAAGAAGAAAGGAATCATAACCTTTTTTTTTTAAAGTAATCGTCCAATTCATTAAATTAATCAAACGGCATTATCAAGAAAACAAAACCAAAGAAAAAAAAGATGAGCTGAAAGAAATCAAATTACTTTGTAAAGTTAAATTTGAATTTAATCAATTTTTTCTGTTAATATTTTTACAATTTCATATAATTGAATATTTAAGTTTTGATTTTTTTTAATAACTAATTTGAATTATTTATTTTTATGTTTGTCATTAATATCATGTCATATGGCAAGCTAGAGGGACACCTTCCAAGTTATATATAAGATTTGTTAACCATCTTATTCATCTCTTATGTGTCTGTGTATTTTTTTTCTTGCTTACAAAGTATATTTCAATATTTGTTTAAGATAAACATTATAAAATAATCCCCGCGTCGAGTGGGCAGTTATCTAGTAATAAGATATTAGTTTTTCTGTTCCTGTACTCTACTTTTCCAGTATACTAAATGTGTAAAATGTAAAGAAAGTTTAGAAAATTGTATTATTTCTGACATCCTTGAGTGTCTTGATTCACTGAATTAGAACAAAGACTTTATTGTTTGGTTAATAGCATAAACAAAGACTTATTCTAAATCTTCATCTTCCTTGAATCTACACTCTTCAAAGTATTTCACTTCCCGTGTAGCGAATTTAACAATGGCTGACTGGTCGTTGCTTCCCAAAGACATACTGGAACTAATTGCTGGTCGTTTCAAGACATGTTTTGAGATTGTCCACTTACGATCTGTCTGTAGCTCGTGGTGGTATGCTCTGCCTCCGAAGATTTCTCTCGGAAGCTTAGGCAAAAGAAGCCTTCTTCCCATTTTCAATGACAACCCTCGTTTTGATGGCGATGAGCATTGCATACTAAAAAAGATTCCAGTTTTTCTCTTGAGATTTGAGACTCCTTTTGGGAATGATTATTTGTTGGCAGGGATGACCGAGAAAAAATCCGGTAAACAAAGGTTGTTGTCACCGTTAGAAAATACTTATAGGTATAAATATGGAGTAACTCTCAACACTCTTAGCTCCCAAATCATCCCCTTGGGTCATCTCTACAAGGTTGTTTTACTTTACTTTTACACCTTTCTTTTTATAACTCTGTTTCATTATCAATTTGGTTAAACAATCTTTTTGATATAGGTACAATTCTATGCTATAACGACGAGACGCTATAGAACACGACGTGAATGTTATTCCAAAAGAGTTGCGTTTCTTCCAATGGAAAGTGAAGACGGTAGAGATTTTGCAGTTGTAGCGGGAGTGTTAGGGGATTTAATGATGTACCGAAGCTGTGACAAGAAGTGGACTCTAATCCAAGGTCGGTTTCAAGCATATCGAGATATAGTTTCATTCAAAGGCAAGTTTTATGTTGTTGATATGAGTGGACAGGGACATGTCTTTGTTATCGAACCCTCATTCAAAGTTACCGAGATCAGTCCAGTCACACAGTCTCACGAGACTTTTGATGAGAGACTGGTTGTATCAGGAGACGAGTTGTTACTGGTGCAGCGGTTTACGCCGCCAGGAAAGTATGGTGATGAACATATGCATACGTGGTTCAGATTGTTTAGGCTCGAAGAGGAAGGCCAAAGGAGATGGGTTCGGGTTAATGACTTAGAGGATCAAGTCGTGTTTCTTGGAAATGAGTGGAATCTATGTTATTCATCAAAGGAGCTTTCTGGTATGAAAAGGAACTGCATTGTGTTCATTGAACCAAAAATCGTATTTGAGAGAAGCTGTGTTTTTGACTTAGGAACCAGAAAGACCAGTAAGGCGGTTACCGAATGCAGAGGCTATATGGGTGCGTTCGGCGAAAATCAAGAATCCTTGGCGTCCTGTGGAATTGTGACGATGCTAAATAAGGATAATGGTCTGTATCCTTGGCGTCTTGCGGAATTATGATGATGCCAAATCCAAAAGTTGGCACCTATGACACATCAATTGAATCTGAATAAGTTCCTCAATCATGTCTTCAAGTTTATTTGTTTTTTGTTTGGTTGATTGTTTTAGTTCATGGAAACTTCGTTGGAAATTTTAACTCAATTTTACTACCCGTTAGTAGATTTCTTGATTAAAAAGAAACATCACATGTCATTCTACCAAACCCGGTTTATTCAACAACAAAAGTCACTTCAAGTTATGGGTTAACCATGTCATTTTGCTCCTTAAGCATCCTTACAATTTCTATGATATTGTTAACATTTATGTTCGGTCAATTCAATAATGCAAGTACGACGTCTCATGATTAAGAGGGTTCTGAGCGGCTCATGTTGTCGCTTTGCTAGACATATACCACAGAACAATTATGTTCGAAGGCATAAATATTGTGATCTAATGAGAGAGGTCTCTTGTATCTTGTTTCTATTTCTACATAAAATATTAAGTAAAGCTGATAGTATAAGGATAATGGTCTGTAAGTTCGTGTATTATACTCGATGGACATATAACTTACAAGACCTTTTGACCTCTTTCGGTAGCTACACAACCTTATATGGGTCATCTCTAAATTACATTATTAGACCATTTCTAATCGTTGGCTCTAGGCCTGGGCATAAAACCCGAAATCCGAAAACCGATCCGAAACCGATCCGAAAAATCCGGAACCGAACCCGAACCGAATAGTCACAAAATCCGAACGGATAATGAATTCTCCTATCCGAATTACCCGAACCGAATCCGATCCGAACCGAAAACCGAAAGGATATCCGAAAACCGGAAATAAAAATTATATATCCAAAAATATTAGTTATATTTAGTTGTAATTTTATAGCAAATAACAAAAATATCCTAAATATCCTAGATTTCGGAAAAATTTTAGTTATATTTGTTAAAATTATACATATTTTTGCAAAATTTAACCAAATTTTAGTAAGATTAAACCAATTTTTATTTAAATTGAACTATTTTTAAGTTTTTTTTCCCGAAAACCGATCCGAATCCGACACCTATCCGAACCGAAACCGAACCGATGACTCATAAAATCCGAACGGATAATAAATTCTCCTACCCAAATTATCCGAATCCGAATATATCCGAACCGAAACCGAACCGAAAAATCATAAAATCCGAACGGATAATAAACTCTCATACCCGAATTATCCGAATCCGAATATATCCGATCCGAATCCGATTTGAAATCCGAATGCCCAGGCCTAGTTGGCTCTATTTATTGCTCTAAATTTGGAGTGCTCTAAAAATAGAGCAGATGTTTGCTCCAATAGTTGGCTCTATTTTTTGCTATAAAATAAATATTCTCTTTTAATATTTTGCTACCTACCAGATTATTAAATCACTTGTTTATGGTGTGTTAAGTTTTTTTTAAAGACAAGTTAATCTTTTTTTATGTACTTTTAGTTTATCATTTGTGATGACATTATTTTTTAATTTAATATATGTTATTGTTATATTTTAAATTTCAATTAATTTAGTATTTATGATTTTTAATATAAAATTATGTATGTATGTAATATAATTATATAATTTTGTTTAGGTATAAAATGATAGTATATTAAAATTAAGGGAGTACTTTGTAAATAAAAAAGTTGTGCTCTAAAAATAGAGATATGAATAGTGTTGCTCGAGATGATAGTATATTAAAATTGAAGGAGTACTTTGTAAATAAAAAAGTTGTCCTCTAAAAATAGAGATATGAATAGTGTTGCTCCATCTTTTCATATCTCTATTTTTATAGCAAAATGTAGAGCACCATTGAAGTGATTTTACTCTAAATATGGAGTTTGGAGCAAGATATAGAACACCATTGGAGATGCTCTTATAGAACTTATCCCGAAACTATTTTTCTAATTAATAAAGGGATATTTATTAGCATTGCTTTTTAAAAAGTGGGATTTTTCTTCAAAATATTTTTTGGAGCCACAAGTTTTGTGCTCGATATGCTTTGTAGCATGTCACTTTTTATATTGTCACCATATAACTATATCATATAAGTAATTCACCTTAATAATAAAATTTGTTTGTTACTTTATTTTTGTTTTCGATATATTAATTATAGAAATTTCAACGAGTCTAAAAAAGTAAGGTTTTGTTTAGAAATTCTCATATTTTAAAATAAAGATACACTAGCATTGCTTTGAAAAAAATAGCTTTTTTCTTCAATAGATTTTTGGAGCCACAACTTTGTGATTGATATGCTTTGTACAAGGGCCCAACACTTTTTATATGGTCACCATGACACTCTATCATCCAACTAATTCACCTTAGTAATAATATTTGTTTGTTTCGTCAAAAGATTTTAGATTTCAACGAGTCTAAAAAGTAAGGTTTTGTTTAGAAATTCTCATACTAGTTGTGTTTTTAGTAGGGAACCTGACATAGTAATATGATGATCATCATAATAATAATCACCAACGAGGTGATAGGGACAACAACAATAAATTTGGATCTCGAGATTGCCAGCAACGAATCAACTGTCTAGTTGTTTTGGATATGTCGGGATTTTATTGTAAGATTCCCATTGCTTGGATACAAATCAAGTCCTAATGACATGTGTTTTTGCCCAATCTAGGGTCAATGTTCTTGAAGCCAGCTAGCAAATATACAACTTGCAGCGGACCAAGTTCATAAATTCTGATTCTGGTTCCTAATTTCCTTGGCAAATGGAAGTGGACATATCTAAACAAACCAAACAAAAACTTGTGGCCACTCAAAATATTTAACATGTGAATGTAGTGTGCTTTTCAACTTCTTTTTTTTGTCTGGAAAAAGTAAATCACAAAGTATAAATATCAAACCCGAATATAAACAAAAGAGTTAAATGCAACACGAATAAAAACAAACACTTTAATATATTTGACCAATAGTTTAAAAATGCTCAAATGCTAAAGTGTCATCTTACAAAATTGAAATCCCCCTTAGTCTAAATCGAAAAACTGATTTATCGATGATCACTATAGTCTCGCATATACTAAACAATATTCATCATTTCCATTACTAAGGAAAGCATGAGTAGTGACATATCTAGAAAGGAGAGTTTTTTTTGCCAAGATGCTAACACGATAACGAACAAACATTTCCAATTAACCAATACGACTAAATTATACAGTTTCATGTTTAAAGCATCTAAACCATTCACACAACCTCATATTCATGCGCGCAAAACCAATCACGTATTTCTGTACTCATGCTTTTGAACTCATATGCACCGACCCTCTACTCGTATAACATGTACCTCTATTCACGATCATCCGACCCTCGATCACTATGCTCGACATCTCTCAGTGTGTCTTAACCTTTTTTGTGTGTGTGTTAGTGTTATTCACGAGTCACAAAAACGAAGGGTGAATGTGTGATTTTGGAGGTTACAGTTAAAGAAGGCTAGCATTTGGTTAGGGTGTCAAGTCGAAGTTGGGTTTGGGAAATGTTAATAAATGGTGTCAAAACGACTTACCACACTGAAACTTTACTAAAACTTTATGTGACTTTAATTTTGGTGGAATAATCTTGTATGGACTACGGTTCTATAATGACCAATCATAATTTGTACCATGAAACTGGTAGTATAGCTTCAGGGCCGGTCCTAAGAATATTGAGGCCTAAAGCATATTAACAAAATGTGGCCTATTTTATGACAAAATTTCATCGAAAAGTTATAAGTTTATCAAATATTTATAAACTATAGTTAGCACTATTAAAATTTTTATATTTAAATCATTAGTTAATAACTCATTTTATTTCAAAAATAATATATATACACTTAGAAGCACGTTACATCATCCTATACTATTATTTGGGGAGTACACTTTATAAAAAACCCTTAACTAACCTTCTCTTTTGTAAAAAATTACATGAGAATGCCATTACAAAAAGCTTATTTTAGAACAAATTCATTAAGGTTATTAAAGACAATTAGCACACTATCCATTTAACCAAAAACGGGTCAATGGGTTTTAAAATGGGTTTAAGAAGATATCCTAAACAATAAAATCTAACCAACCTATCCTAAACAACAACACTCAACCATCGGGAAATCGGCTTTTTCATACCCCCACAGTTGTGTTATGTTAAATTTATACCTAAACTATACCGTTATGCTAAAACATACCTCTAGTAATAAAATATATGAATTTCATACCTACACTTTATGCTTTGTGTTAAATCATGCATACGCTCTAAATCTTAACTACGTGGAATCCACGTGTGCACCTACGTGGCTTTGGTGTAAGGAAATTGGCTTTTTCATACCTCCACAAAACCAATATTTGAAATTCATACATGAATTTTATACTATTGTGCTAAAACATATCCTAAATAACCAAAAATTTAAATTTAATATAAATCGAAAACTCAAACCGGAACCGATCCGAAAAACTTGGTTCGGATCGTTAATGGATATAACCAACCTACCCTATTGTGTCTTATACATGTCTATTTGTGGATATCGGTTCGGGTCTGGATATTATCTGGGTATAATATCCAAAATATTTGTACTCAATTATACTTGAAACCCGAACAGATAAACGGTTAACGAAAACTACTTGGACAAGTATCCGAATACCCGATATATTTATATATTTTTGAATATTGTGTATCCGATTATGCCCAAACACTAGCAAAATACTTGAAATTTAACTCAAATCTCCGAAAAACATACAAAATACTTTAAATATTTGATTACATAGGGTATGTTTTAGCACAATAGTAAAGTTCGGGTATGAATTTCATATATTGCAGTTGTGGAGGTATGAAAAAACTATTTTTTCCACAAACTCGCATAAAACAAATCCACGTAGATGCACACGTGGATGCCACGTAATCAACATTAAGGTCGTAGGCATGATTTTGCACAAAACATAAAGTGTAGGTATGAAATTCAAATGTTTTATTAGTGGAGGTATGTTTTAGCACAACTGTATAGTTTAGGTATAAATTTAACATAGTGTAATTGTGGAGGTATGAAAAAGCCGATTTCCCCTCAACCATCGTATAACATAAATCCTTAAAAGATAAAAGAAATTAAAAGTCATAAAAGAAACGTGCAAGATGAAACATTCATCATTAGGTTCTCTGAATTGAAGCTGATACGTTTCTCTTCATAGCATTATTATCTATTCTGAATCAAAGAAGAAAAGCAATAAACGTTTATCTTTATATATAGAGAGCATAAGCCTCATTATTCTAACTCACTCTAAAAACACAAAAAACAAAATCATCAATCTCTTCATATTCCATGGATTATATCTCTGATTGGGGGGTGGATTATATCACCCAATTTATATTTTAATTTTATAAAAAAAAATTCACACCCATGCTATAGCAGGGGTTATGATCTAGTTTGAAGTTATGGAGTTTAACTTCTTGCCTAATACAAAGTTTTACTGGTGTGTTTTTTAACTACTAAAAATAATAAAAATTACTGAAAAATGATATAAAGTATCCGAAAAGAAACTTTAAAACATAAACTCTTTTGGAAAAAAATATTAATCGAACTTCAATTATATTCAAAGTAAACGTGGATTAAGGAACTATAACAACTTGACCAAATTACCAATACTCATGTGGCCCTTAAAACTACTTAAAAAAGTTGTGGCCTCAAGCATATGCTTTATGTGCCTTATGGAAGGGCCGGCTCTGTATAGCTTCCTTGAAGAAGTCGACGTGCCAGCTCCTCCCAGACCCGCGAAGAGAAGACACAAGAAAAGAAAATGTGCTCCCGTGTCTCCATCGGAGCTTGACAAAGAACACATGACGGATTCACTCCTCTGCTCCAAGAGACCATACACTCACCCGTGGTTAGTCTGTTTTTTGCCGCGAGCCATAGCAGGAAAGAGTGTTTTGGAATAGAGTCCGGGAACCAAACACTCTTAGCCCAGCTTATTTTTGGCCCTGCATTTCGGATTTGTTTCCGAGTTTCAGAAGTAATGAACCGTGATCTGAGTTTGTTATTTGGTCTTTTCCACAAGGATACATCCGGTTCAAGGCATTGTCCCTTGTTTCTAAGTCTCTCCAGCTCCGTCTCAACTTGATTTAAAAAATCTAGACGGTGGTGCCTAGCTCTGTGATTTGCTAGGACGGCAGCAACCGTGTGTGTATGTGTGTAATAATGTTATGTTTGGATTTCGTAAAACTTAGGCCATTTTTATCGCTAGAAACTATAGAAATTTCTCAAAATATTGTATTTTAATAATTATCATATAATTTTATTATTTGTTTAAATAATCATTGAGAAAGTAATTATTTAACATATTAAAATATGACATGTGTAAAGAACAGTTTCTCAGGGTTTCTCAACCTCTCTCCTCCTTTATTATTATTTTTGTTTTTTAATTAATGAGAAACCATGTAAGAAACTCCTAATGGAGATGCTCTTATAACGTTTTATCTCAAATCTTGAAATTGTTAATTATAGAGAGACGCCAACTATGGGAGCTGCCAATATCTAAAGAAGTCTCACACCTCTACATACCGAAGTGGAAGTCCTTCTGTGGGCGATGAAGTGTATGATTGGAGCCGACAACCAAGATGTAACTTTTTTTACAGACTGTTCAGGCCTGGTGAAGATGGTGTCTTCCCCAACCGAATGGCCGGCCTTCTCAGTGTATTTGGAAGATTTCAAGAGCGACAAGGAGGAATTCTCAAGCTTCTCTTTATCTTTAATCTTCTCGAAGTGCAAATGTAAAAGCGCATAACTTGGCACGAAAAGTTCGTACCGAACCGCATCACATTACTTATGTAAACAACAGTCTCTTTTGAATTTTAATTAAAAGTTGTTGACAAAAAAAAATTGTTAATTAGCCTATATGATGTTAAACAGGTCGGCCCGCGTTCATTTGGATGATAACCTCCAAGAGATTTTAATTTTATGTTTGGATCGTATCATAATCGCCAACGAGTAGATAAGGACACCCAAAACACACATTTGGATCTCAAGATTGCCAGCAAATAATCAACTGTCTATTTATCGGAAATGTCGGATTACTATTGTAAGATTCCCTTTGCTTGGATACAAATCAACTCCTAATAATATGTGTTTAAGATTGAGATCAGTCTAGGGTTGTCAAAGAATCATTTAATATGGATAAAGTTCTACGCAACTGTAACGTGAGAGTAATAATCAAGAAGCGTAATAATCAAGAAGCGCAATAATCAAGAAGCATCACATTACGAGTACAATAACTTAACCAGAAAAAAAGGAACATAAAAACAATAAACAAGGCTGAGTCTAGTAAGACTAGGACTAACCAAATTGACACCAAACAAATGGTTTTTGATTAAATCAGAAGTCGAGCTTAACCGGATATCGGTCGATACAGTGTTCCCACGGACTACTAACCGAAGGCTTGACATTGTGCAGAGCCACCCAAACCGCGCTGTTACACTTAAACCCACTTCCAAAAGCAATCTGCCAAACCCGGTTTCCTTTCTTCATTCTACCTTTAGCCTCTATGTAAGCCAGTTCATACCAAATCGAGCTCGAGGAAGTGTTTCCAAATCTGTGCAGTGTCATTCTCGATGCCTCGACATGTGTCTGAGAAAGCTGCAGATTCTTCTCTAGCTCATCAATCACAGCTCTACCACCAGCATGGATACAGAAATGATCGAACGCAAGCTTGAAATCCGGGATATACGGCTTCAGCTTAGCGTTAAACAGCTTCTTCGTAACCAAAGTCATGAAAAACAGAATCTGCTCGCTTATAGGAAGAACCAAAGGACCCAAAGTAGTGATATTCGCCTTAAGAGCCTCCCCAGCTATAGCCATAAGATCTTTCGACAACGAAACCCCGGTCTTCCCATTATCGTCCTGTTCTTGGTAAACACAATTGAAAGCCTTCTCAACAGCTCCTTTATGAGTCCTAACCGTATGAACCAACTTATACTTAGACCGTCTACGATCCTTCCCCTTATTAGACAACAAAATCGCCGAACCACCAACCCGAAACAAACAATTCGGGATCAACATAGCCTTCTTATTCCCAAAATACCAATTCTGAGTAATATTCTCAGTACTAACCACAACAGCATAAGTATTCCTATGAACTTGCAACATATCTTTCGCTAAATCGATAGCGATAACACCCGCACTACACCCCATTCCACCAAGATTAAAACTCTTAACATTCCCTCTAAGCTTATACTTGTTAACAATCATAGCTGATAACGAAGGTGTAGGATTAAACAAGCTACAATTCACAACCAACACACCAATATCCCTAGGGTTAATCTCGGTGTTCTCGAAAAGCTTATCGAGAGCACCGAACATTACCTGCTCAGCTTCCTCACGCGCCGCCATCATCGTCGGACGCGGAGGGATACAATGTAAAGCTTCAGGGAGATAAGTCTCTTCTCCTAAACCAGAACGTTCAAGAATCTTCCTCTGAAACTCTAAAGAAGACTCATTGAAATCTTCAATTAACTTAGAATGATCCATAAACTTCTGATACTTAACCTGAAGACTCTCTGGAGGAAGATAACAAGAGTAATCAACAAGATAAACAGATCTGGGACGACTCATGATATAAACGGTGGAGCCAAAAATGGCTAAAGCAGAGAGAAAGATGAAAGCAACGAGATTGTATTGAAGATGAAGCCAAATCTGGTAAAGATCGTCAGTGGTTAATCGAGAGATCTCGGTGACTAAAACCGCCATTAATGGAACCAAACAGAGCTTGAAGAGATGAGTAATGAGATAATGATAACCTAGCTTGACGTATTTCATGTTGACGCTTTGTAAGAAATTAGGAAGCTTTCGTCTTTCGTTCTCTGTTCGGATCTGTACGGATCCGCCATTAACAGGCTCGTTAGCAGCTTCCATGGCTTCCGAGAAAAATGGAATAAAAATGAAAACTTTCTTTGTGCAACGAGTATTTGAGCATATGAGAAGAAATGGGTAAGTGAGTTTGATAGGAATAGAATCAGTGAAGTGACGCCATTGAAGAACACCTAATGAAGAAAACAGTTGATCTGTCGAAAAGTTGTGTTTTTATGATTAAGAGAGAAGAAGAAGAGTTTTTGTTTTGTATTATTTGGAATCTTTTTTGTTTCTTTGACCTTTAATGTGTGTGTGTGTATAAATAGCAGCCAAAAAGGTAAAGAGTATTTATTTAGGGTAAAATAAAATGTGTGGTTTTTGGGAGGTTACAATTTAAGGAGATAAAGCTGGCATTTGGTTAGGAGGTCAAGTCCAAGTAGGAAGTAGAAAAATGTTAATAAATTTCCCAACGAAATCTTTGGGGGTACAAAACGATTTAACATATTTCTGTATTTGTACTCAAAAACTTTAATGTGAGTGATTGTTGGTGTTGAATAGTCTTCTAAAGACTGCGTTTCTATAATGGCAATCATATTTTCGTTCAGTTGAATTTGATGTGTTTTTAAACCACATTTTTCTTTTGAAGAAAAGTGGATATTATTTTTTAAATATGCGTCATTATGCATGTGAGTTGTGAACACATAAATGATAATATCAATCAATCATATATATTTTATCTATAAATAAAATATACTTTTATTTAAAAATATATCTATTTATATTTAATCAGAATATAATATTTATATTTGACCAAAAAAATCAGAATATAATATCTGCGACCTAAAAAAAATTCTACATTAAAAAAAAATGTGATTTCACCGTAACTTTAGATATGGATGAAGTTCAGAATTATGTAAATCCATGGTTTGTTATCTTTTGTGATTAGTTAAGGCATCCACTTGAGAACTAATGCACTATAGATGCTTACATACTTTGTTTTGTATGAAAAAAAGGTCAAATTTCGAAAAATTTAAATGCAACTTGAATAAAAACTGAAGACTTTTATAAAATTTGACCAATAATTAAAAAATGCTAAAATGTCATCTTATCAAAATTGAAATCTCCTAAATCATAATCGAAACAATTTCTCACTTGCATTTTAAAAGAAAACATGAGTAAGGACCGAATGAAGAGTCACTCCCGTCAAAATGCTAACACGATAACCAGTAAACATTTCCAATCAACCGATACAATTAGATTACATAGTTCAATTAACGATATTTATGCGCACAAAACCAATTATGTATTTCCATAGTCATGCTCATGAACCCATATGCGATTCTATTCGGGATCATCTTTGGCCTCGAGCATTATGCTTGACATTGCTCTGTAAATGTGTGATTTTGGAGTTTACAATTAAAGAAGATAGCATTTGGTTGGGGGGGGGGGGGGGGGGGGGGGGGGGGGCGGGGGGGGGGGGTCAAGTCGAAGTAGGAAGTAGGAAGTAGGAAAATGTTAATAAATGGTATTAAAAAGATTTGACACACTGAATTTACTAAAACTTTATGTGACTTCTGGTGGAATAGTATTGTAAGGAATGCGACTCTATAATAACCAATCAATTTGTGTACCATGTCCATGTGAATGTGTAGTGTGCGATTATTTTTTTTTCTTTTCGAAAATGTAGATAATTTATTTCACAAAAAAGTTTTAATATATAGAGGATAAATATCAAGAATCTCATATGTATATTTATAATTTTACAAGATTTAGAAAGTAAAAAGTAAAAAAATTAAAAATGATTTTATTTTTCTTTTATAAAATATAATATTTAAGTAAGAATTTAATGTTAAATAAAGTGAAACTTCTATTCAAAATGACAGTAAAATAAATTCTATTTTCTTGAAAACGATCTCAAGATATCTATTGATCTAGAGAAAGTCAATATTTTAAGAATCCAATGAACATATGGTTTGTTATATTGTGATTATGAAGCATCTACTCAATAACGAACAAATTGCAAACGCTTGCTCGGAAAATATTCTCGTCTATTAACTGAAAAGACTCTAATATCGAATATAGATAGACAACGACGAAAAACTAGTCAACACCTAATTAGGTTTTCAAATCTTTTTGTTTTCTCTGAAAATATGAAGTATTCAAATATTAGAAGGTTGGGCTTGCTAACTTCGGCAGTGCGATACCTCATACAAAGCTTATTGAAACCATTTGTTGATGTAGTTGCAGTCGAGACTGATTCGACTTGGATTCGGTGAAGAGCATCCTAAAAATGGACACATCTCTCGCCTAAATCAGGATGTTAGTACTAATGTAGGAAACTTCTACATAGTTGTCATACTGGAACACTAAATTCTTACCTAATTTAAGTGGATGTGTGACGATAAGTTTAAGATATGGAAATTTCAATGAAAAGACGATAAAACGTTGTACAAACTGAAAGGCCAAAACCCTAAAAAACAAAAATCCACAAATCTATACTAGAGAAGTCACGAAAAGTTGATCGTATCTAAATCGATTTCAGATGCATTGTCACAAATATAATCGGATCCATTTAAATCTAGAAACTAGATGCGATGCTTCAAATAATCTAGGGTCCAAAATTGCTTAATACCTAAATACAACCGAAGTCGTGATAATGAATTCACGGCTCTCGTCTTACGGCGAGAGACTTAACTCGATAAAGTGAAATGGTTGAATACCTGAAAAATGAGATTTCTCTATTAGAAAAAGGACATAGTTTAACCCAAACTAATTTGTTGGAGACTTGGAGTAGAACAACTAATTCAAGCAATTGGATTTAAGTGATTTAACATAGTTGTTGTAAAATTATATTATTATTTTAACTATTTTTTAGAGATCAATAACTAATGGAAAACCCAAATATCTTAAAACTTTAAATATACTCAATAGTGCCAACAACAACAGAAACAACCACTTATTTGAGCATGTCCGGCCCACAGGGCAAGTTACTGAAACAATGAATTCGGGCCTCAATATTTAAGGGCCTTTTACACTAAAATTTTGTTAAGTCTTTTTATCATAAATATTTTCTGCAAGGCCTTTTAAGAAATTTTTTGGGCTTTTAGATACAAACTAATTAGTATCTTTAATAGTGAAATTCTGGTTAACTGGTTTAATGTGAATTTTTTTAAAAAAAATTGGACTTTTCAACTATTTTTGATTTTTTTTTTATAGATAAATGTATTTTTGGAATTTGGAAACATTATATGACGTTTTAATGTATATTATGTTATTGTTTATGATTTTTTATAATGTATAAAAAAGACTATTTTTAAGCTTTGTTAGGGTATCAAAATATGTTGGACCGGCACTGTATTTGGGTCACAGAATTATGGGGCAGGTCCATTGACCATGTTTTTCTTTCACGTTTTGACAAAGTGGGGGAAAGCTTTCAAGTTTTGACAATTATGTCATTTTCGGACGAAATTGCCCTTCCAGCAAAACCGGTGTACAGTAACAACGAACGAATTAGTTAGGCGCATTGGTTACGTACACAGTATCTCGTTAGATACAGTAGAGGCGTTTTTTTATTTATTTCCGTCGCGTGTACAGTGTACCAAAACCGATTAAAAAAATTAAAATATGTTATGATAAAGGGTTTAAATGCTAAAAGAGTAAAGACATGACTAATACCAACTATAATCAATGCAAACTCATCATCACATCTTATTTTATTTCTCTTAGATCATATATACGTACACTGTTTAGATTTTGTATAGAGAAAAAAAAAACTTCCCACAAATATCTATGAACGAATGAGATTGTGGCAATTTTGATCTTGTTGTTTAACAAAGTTTGCAGGCAAGAAAAACAGTGAACGTGGTATAATGAAGTTGTAAAAATAAATTTTAGCTATTACATACACTTGAATTTTGATTTGAAAGAAAACAAAATTATATTGGATATTAAACTTCAGGAAAAATTAATTTTCCTGTCTTGATTCTATATTTGTTTTGTTGTAAATACTAAATGAGGAGATTCTATGTGCATTAAGTGTGTAGTTGGACATTCTTTTTGTAGTTGGAGCTATAAAAGTTGTTCTCAGTTGCATTTAATGGGGTTCTCCTGAATTTATGATGCAGGATGTTAATGGAGATTCTAGTATTTATTATGGTTGGTGAGTGGAGATTAACAGAAGAAGAATGGAAATTTGAACCTGAGAAAAGAAGCTATGGTCGGTGTGTACGTGTTAGGAAAAACATGACGTACACGGATTTGGCACGTACATTATGTGAGGTTTTCAATTTGAAGTCCACTGAATGGCATCCAATAATAAGTTACTGGATGCCGAGAAATATGTCAATGATGATAGAACGTATACGCCCTCCTGTCTACATTGACAATCAAATAAGCCTGGATACATTTTTCTTGATTCGTGTTGGGGATCCTAGTGTAAACTTGTTTATGTCTTTCAGTACAACCGTCAAGGGAGGCATGAATAGTATTTCTACGATGGATGGCCTTGATGCTGAAACCAACCCTGGGTCGGGGAGTGAAAACTCACCAAAAACCATGGTAGACTATACGTACACAAGTCAACGTGTACGTACAGGAAAAACCAGTGTTATTTTTGGTGACAGTCTATATACATGATTTGTTGTTAAATTTTTTGGTTCTCAAGTTCAGAAAGAAGACAAAAAAGACTCATTCCTAATCAGTGTACAAGATGTAAACAAGAACGTCATAACAAGAAGACTTGCAAAAATCCTATTTAATTTTGTGTGTTTGTTTTTTGTCGAAGTGTTGACAGTGTATTTTTATGTGGGTACTTTGTGTACAGAAAGTTTATTGTGGTGTACGTTTATATTTGCCATCGTATAACTATGTACGTTTCTGATCTTCTCCTTGTACGTATACCTTACACCACAAACGGTTACAGACGGTTACACAATTATCGTATCTCAAACGTTGCGCCTTTTCGAATTAACCATTGCATCAGTTACAAACTTTTCTTATTTACGCCACAAATTCTTCTCACTCTTTTCCACGTTCCTGCTATCAAAACCCTTGTAAAGTCTCGGTTTATATCTATCAACCACAAACTCGCACCGGTTTTATTCCATTCGACTACATTATTGAGAAGACGGTTG